TCTTCATCTTCTTGGACTCTCCTTTTCCTCTTTTTTAGTAATGTTTTTTAAATTTTGATGTGTTATGTATTTATGGTTTTAATGTTTTGTGTGAGTCATCCAGAGTCCCCCATTGGGAGGAGATGGGCAGGGGAGAAATTTAATAAATAAATTTTTTAAAAAAAAACTTTAGAAAGGAAGTATAGTCAATGTCCTAATGTGAAGGCATGATTATATTGTATTATGCCATTCTCATTGCAGGATACTGATTCAGATTTACCAACACATCCTGGCTTTGGCATTTGCTGTAAAAGAGATCAATCAAAGTCTCCAGCTTCTACCCAATATCACCTTGGGCTTCCATATTTATAATAGCCATTTCAGAGCTCGCTGGACCTACCTTGCCTCATTGGAACTTCTTTTTGGGAAAGGCAAATTCATCCCTAACTACAAGTGTGATGCCAGGAATGTTTTGCTAGCAGTGATTGGAGGTGCTCATTCACATGTTTGTCTTCACATGGCAACCATCCTGTCTGTCTATAAGATGCCACAAGTAAGATCAGATTGAAAAATCATGGGTTGGAAAAGCTTGGGTACCCAAAATGATGTAGTGGTTAGGGTGCTTGATTAGGATGGAGGAGACAGAGGTTCAAGTTCATTTTCAACCATGGTATCTAACTGGGTAATCCTGTTCTATTTACTCTGTCTCAGCCCTGCTTGGTTCACAGGTATATTGTGATGGGATTAAAAATTGAAGGCAGCAATATGATGTCTGCTCCCTTGAGCTCTTGGAGAAAACAGAGAGAATAAATCAAAGGAACAAGGAGATGAAATCTTGATAATCCATTTGAAGTTATGAATGGAAATTGCAGTTTGAAGATTTTTTCCCCTGGAGGAGGGGAGGGGAGGGGAAGGTATACATGATAATGACAAATTCTGAATATGCCTGATATTGAAAATTGTTTCTTCCTCCTGAAATCCCATCTGTCTCCATTCAGTGCACTTTTCTTCTATGTAAAACAAAAAAGAAAGTAGAAGAGAGGGAAATGTTACAGAGAGGCTTGTATTTGCTACCCATTTTATAAAACAATGCAGCTATACTTTACTTTGATTTGGAATGTGTGTGTGTATGTGTGTGCTTAATTGATGGTTCATAATTTCAGTCTCCATTCCATGATAAAAATTAGGATATCTCAAATGATTCTGAGATGCATTCCAACAGCACTGCATGGGAAAAGCCTCTCCTATGTTTTCCTGAGCATGAATGTGCTTTTGACATACCATTCTGTTTATAGTTATACCTTAGCCCATGGTGAAGGTGGGTGAAGACTTAGAATCACTTATAATCCTAGCACATTAACTTAAATAAATAAATAAATCTCTAGACCCTCATGATTTGTAAATGCAGTCATTGAAAGCATAGTTTGAAATTATGATTCAAGGTCCAATTTATGCTACATCAGAATTCAAGTAGTGTATAATTTGCAAGCAGATAAAAACACCCATATTATATTTTAGGCTTATGTCTTTTCCTCTTGTCTTTCTGATATCTTCAGCTCATATATGGCTCTGCTCCAGTGATGAATGAAAAAACTCAAGCTGTCTTCTCCCATCAGATGTTTCCAAACGGGGCCCATCAATATAATGGGATTCTCCAGCTACTGTTGTATTTCAACTGGATATGGATTGGGGTGATTTATCAGAATGAGGATATTACAGAGGAGTTTGTAGAGAAGGTACTCCCTCATTTTTCCCAAAAAGGGATCTGTTTTGATTTCATTGAACGACTCCCCAAACAAATGTTTTCTGATTATATTCCTGAGAACATTGAAGAAGGCACAAAGAAAATGAGGGTTGTTATGGAAAGTACTGCCCATGTGGTAGTTATTCATGGCGAAATTCATGCTCTGATGTTTTTCAGAGTCATGAAAGCATACACAGACTGGGATAATATTACAATGAAAACGAAAGCTAAAGTTTGGATTATGACAGCCCAGATAGAATTCATATCACTTCCATTTCAGAGAAGTTGGGATATCGGTTTCCTCCACGGTGCTCTGTCATTTGCCCTTCACTCAAAGGATTTGCTTGGATTCCAGGAATGTCTTCAGATGAGAAACCCTCTGTCAGAAAAAAAAGGATGGCTTCTTGGCAGATGTTTGGCAACTTGCTTTTAATTGCTCATTTTCAGACAGTGCAGTAGATGAGGTAGTTGAAAAACCATGCACTGGGGAAGAGAAGCTGGAATCTCTTCCTATGACTCTTTTTGGACTGAGCATGACTGGCCACAGCTATAGCATCTACAATGCAATCTATGCCATAGCACATGCTTTTCATGCCATGCGTTCATCCAGGAACAAACAAAATACACTGGTAAAACCAAAGAGTTTGGACCTTATCAATCAGCATCCATGGAAGGTAATGTTCTGAAATTCTGAGTGGCAAAAGGAACACTCTGTGGTGCAATTAAGTATTTTGGGCTATGTAAATAGCTCTCTTTGTTATGGAAGATTGTTATATTTAAATGACCGTGCCTCAAGTTGGTCTCTGTTGAAAACCTTGTTTATTTAGTATTATTATAATTTGGGAGAAAAAAGCAATATTGATACAGCTGTTGGAAACTATACATTGCTATCGAATATTAATACAGCTGTTGAAAACTTGGTAGAGCCTTCAGACAAAAGATCCTTCTCTGCAGAGATCCCACCACTGCACAAACAGGAATCAAATTCCCTTTCTGCAGAAGCTGATTTGCATCTGCTTAAGTTTTCAGCCCTGCACTGAGACATTTGTAGTAGCTCAGGCATTTTTATTGGAGTCAGCAATCAATAAATTAGACTATAACATTCATTTGGATGAATAGAATTATTATTGTTGTTTTTGGTCACACAGCCAGATGTTTAGACTGGATTTGGCATTTTTATCATCTATTGAGTCCTTCCCAAGAGCCTGGGATAGGCAGTTGTTGTTTGATAGTGTTAAAAGTATCATCACAGGATGTAAGCTGTTCCAAGTAAAGCTATCTTTTGCAATTGACTGATGGTGATTTTGTCAATGCTAATGATGTTCAAATGGTAGTCCAGATGTTTTGGGATTTCACCTAAGGCACCTATTACCATTGGTACTATCTTTACTATCTTTTGCCACAGTCATTCTATCTGCAGGTCTTTGTATTTTGCAATTTTCTCCACTTTTTCTCTTCTATTCTGCTGTCTCCAAGTATTGCAATGTCCACTATCCAGATTTTTTTGTCTTTCTAATCAACAGTTGTTAAGTCTGGGGTGTTGTGTGGCAGGTGCTTGTCAGTTTGAATTCTAAAGTTCCAGAGCACTTTAGCTTCTTCATTTTCTATTACTTTGTCTGTTTTGTGGTTCCCACCAGTTCTTGCTTGCAGGCAAATGGTATTTCTTGCAGATTTTCCAATGCACAATTGTTGCTACTTTGTCATGCCACTCTTTATAGTCAGTCTGTGCGATCTTCTTGCAGCAACTAAGTATTTCTTCAGCTTCTTTGCAGAGGCAGCATTTGCTGTCTGTTGCTGTCTTCTCAGTTCTGGCTTTCTACGCAATTGTTCTTATGGCTTGGTCTTGTGCATCTATCTATCTATCTATCTATCTATCTATCTATCTATCTATCTATCTATCTAT